TCTTGGTTGACATCCATTTTCTTTCAGAGCTTGGTATATGCATTCTTCCATTATCTCCTGGCTTTGAGGGTCTGGGTTGAAAATTCTGCTAGATATGAATTGATCTCCCCCTATATTTGATCTGATTCCTCTCTCTTGCAGCCTTTAAGATTCTATCCTTATTATGTATGCTAGGAATTTTCCTTATAATGTGCCTGGGTGTACATATTTTATAATTTTGTACATTTCATGTCCTTTAGGCCTCTTGTATTTGAGTTTCCAAATCACTCTTTCTGCTTGGGAAATTTTCTATTATTATATTATTAAAAATATTGTGCATTCCTTTGGTTTGAAACTCTGTGCCTTCCTCTCTCCTAATAACTTTTTGATTTGGTCCTTTCATGCTATCCCATAATTCTTGGATGTTCTGTACATTGTTTCTTACTATCTTCACTGTGTGGTGAACTTTATTTTCCGGATTGTGTACTTTGTCTTCATTATTTGACATTCTGTCTTCCCTGTTATCTAGGCTGTTGGTGATGCTTTCTATTGAGGATTTTGTTTGTTTGTTTGTTTATTGTTTCCTTCATTTCAAGGATTTCTGATTGTTTTTTTCACAGCCTCTGTTTCTTAAAGCAATCTTTTGCTACCTGTATTTGCTCTCTTATCACTTCATTGGTGTGAACAATTTTTGCTTGTCTTTGCTCATTAAGGTCATTATTTAATTCACAAATCATTTTAATTGTGAACCTTCTGAACTCCTTCTCTCACATTTCATCAATTTCACTGCCCATGGGTTCTGTTATTGTAGTATCCTGCTTTGTTTGGGCACTTTCCTCCCTTTTTTATGTTGTCTATGTGTCTTCCTTTTTGGTAGTGTGGATCTAAGATATTACAGTTTCTAGCCTATAATCTTGTAGTACCTGCACAGATTATTTGTACCTCACCTTGATGTTGGGCTTCCAAACAGTGCAGGTGTCCCTTGATTTATGCTACTGCAACAAAAGGAGGTGGCATCAATAGTGGAGGTATCTCAAGATAGTAGTGGAGGTGCTCCAAGATGGGTGCAATGTCTTTCAAAGATGGGGCTGAAAGGGTGGGCCTTACATTGTTTTTGGAATGAAGGCTCAGAGATGAAGCTTCTTGTAGGCCCTGACCATTGTTGATAAGTAGAGGCGACTGCCTGGGGAAGGCCATGGCAATGTCTGCAGTGGCCCAAATGGAGGTGGGTTAGTCCTGGGCTCCCAGGTGTGGGGGTATGGAAGACTCACACCTACCCTGGGCCTGAGTCCTGCACAGGTCAGCGGAGGCAGTTTTGTACTGAAGCCTGAGCTCTTGCAGGTGTCTGCTGGTAGTAGGATGGACCTTGGCCTACCCTGGGCCTGGGATCTGTGCAGGTCTGTATAAGTGGATCTGGGCTGGGACTGAGCTCTGCTGGTTGGAGGAGGAGGTCCTGTGCCAGAGACTGAGCTCCAGCAGGTCTCTGCTGGTGGAGGGATGGATCCAGGACTACTCTGAAAATAAAAGGCTTTTAAAAAGAGTGAACTGAAAGAAAACAACTAAAAATAAAAATGTTATGACTGCAGCAGTAAAAACTCTAAAATTCTCTTCTCTAGCATTGAATGGCACAGGATCTTCTTCAAATCTCTTTCTTATCCTGGTCTAGTTATTCTCCCTTCAGCCCTTCTAATTTCAACACTCTGACAATATATTTTTTTCCTGCATGATTTTAAACTTGTAAAATTTAAGGCTTTTATTTGCTTTTTATTTTTTTGTTGCTTGAAATTGAACTGATGACCATGCTCATGTTTAATGAGGAACTAGAGACTAAGTTACACAGCCATCCCCAAATTGAAGCTTTTAAATTTCCCCAAGGGTATGTTTATTTCTTGACGTAAATGATATGAAGCTCTACTTTCTCTCTTGAAATACTGATGGGGAAATCACTTTTAATGTTTTTACAGGGACCTTAGAGTTAATTATCCATCTTTTAGTTAGGTGTTCCTACAAAATAGGGAAGGTAATGGTAAGAAACTCACTCTGGAAAAATGTCTAGAACTTGAATATCTATAATGATTATACATACATTGCATTGTAGATAAAAAATTATCATTAATTATTTTGATAAGTTACCAGTGATGAAGTTTATTTTTTAACTTGCAATCATATGACTTCTTTAACCAACAGATTTAAACAGAAACAGCAATGTAAAAATACTGATTCTAAGTCTCCAAAGGCCTGATAGTTTCTACTCTCACTCACCTATAACAATACTAATTGTAAACAAGTCTGGGGTAGCTTTGTTAATATGAAAGACTCCATAATGAGAACAACCACACAGAGAAATAGTTGTCACAGCCGAGGAGGTCCCTGATATGTAAATGAAGACATTCAGGCCACTCATCAAATAATGTGTGTGATTAGACTCAGCCAGCACCAAATGTAGCAGAAATTATGAGCTTAACTATGAAATAGTTAAACATTTAATCTAAATACTCAGTAAGAATATGATGATTGCTTTAGTTTGGCGTAGCTTATTATCCAGCAATTGATAAGCAAAATATGGCAAACTACAAAAAAGAGTGGTTTTATTGATGTGAAATGTCATGAGATATATATATATATATATATATATATATATAGATAGATAGATAGATAGATATAGATATAGATATAGATATAGATATAGATAGATATAGATATATAGATAGAGAGAGAGAAAGAGAGATAGAGATAGATATAGATGTGGCTGATGCAATATAAGGAAATTCAAATAATAAATCAGTATCAAGGCTTGATCTCAAAAACCAGTCCTAAACAACTAGGCAGGATGATAAGAGTCAGAACTGTACCAAATTTGAGTGATCAGTAGTAATAAAGCAAATTTGTTATAGGAATAGGGATACTGGACCAGTTTCCAAAACTATTCTTCAGTATTTGGGTATATATCAAACAATAAATTATTAAATAAAATATGTTAAATTTTTCTGTCTCAACAAATAAATATGTGTGTTAGTTTTCCATGACTAACAAAATATCTGAGATACTACATTGGTGCAACCACATCCATGTTTATAGTAGCACAATGCACAATATCTAAGCTAGGGAACCAACCTAGATGCCCATTGACAGATGAATGGATAAAGAAATTGTTATATATATATATATATATATATATATATAATGTTATATATTATATATAATGTTTTATATATATATATATTATATATATATAATATTACTCAGCAATAAAATGAATAGTTTTATGACATTTGCCTGTAAATGGATAGATTTCTAGCCTATCATGCTAAGTGAAATAAGGCAACCTTAAAAAAGAAAAAGGTTGATTTTGTTTTTTCTCTGATTTTCAGAAGCTAATAAAAATGCAGAGTTGGGAGAGAAAAAAAAGAGAGAAAGAGAAAAAAGGAGAGGAAATTTTATGAAAATAGAGAAAGAATCAATAGAGCAGATAAAGGTGATTGAGTGGGAAGAAAGAGGGATGGGATTGGGGATGAACAGTGGAATGAATCTGACCAGACTCTCATATGTACATAAATGAATATATCACATTCAATTCCAACAACAAGTATATCCATTCAATACTAATTTAAATAATGTATAAATAACTTTAAGAAAGATCAGTACACTAGATGGAAGGGAGCAGGGGGAGGAGGGAAAGGGAAGTTCTAAGGACTTAATTAGAGCAAATTATATTCAATGATTTTTGTGATTATGACAAAATGTATCCTAATGTTACATATAATGAAAGGAATCAATAAAATACTCAAAAACACCTGAAAAATCAAATTATTAGAATGAAAGATATATTTTGGATCATACTTTTGGAAGATTTAGCCCAGAACTGATTTTCTCATTGCTTCAGGGCTCTTCCAGGTTAGCACATCATTTTGGGAAGTACATGTTGGTACATACTGCTCAACCCATCAGTGGAAAAAAAGCAAAGAGGAACAGACCAGGATCCTATAATTCCCATTGAGAGGATGCCCTACCAATGACCTGTATTCTCCCACTATGGTATATTTCTTAAAATTTTCACCAACTTCCAATAGTTCTATGGAGTTGAGACCCAGATTTTAACACATGGGTTTTGAGGAGATACTCCAGATTCCAACTACAGCTATGTATAATATCATATTTTTATATGACTGAGAGTTAACATAAAATCAAATATAATTAGATTCAATTATTACTGCACGTTTCTGTGTGTTTCATTGATAGACTGGCCATGTTCTGGTGAATAACAAAAATAAAGTAAAGCATAATTCATAAAGTATTTTTGTATAACATTTTGATTTTGGCCTCCGCAGGCACCACTGCCACAGTGGCTGCCTCTGAATACGCAGTTGCTGCACATACTGCTCTGTGCCCAGCGGTCTTTTCTCTGGGCACTGCCACCTCCAATGCTACCTCTGAGGTCACTGCTGATGATACCCAGAGATCTCTTTTCCAATCAGCTGCTGCCTGCACCGGTACTACCATCACCCTGCCTGTGATACTGCTGCTGCCACCCCGAATTCACCTAGAGGTCTTCTTTCTGAGTACTGCTGCCCATGCAGCTGCAGCCACCTGCTGCTGTCACCACAGACATTGCTACCCCAGATGCATATTGCTGCTGCTCCCCAGAGATTGCCTTGGTGACACTGTCCCCACAGCTGCCACTTCAGACTCTATTTCAGTATTGCTGCTGCTGATCTGCTGCCTGCTGCCACCAACCACTGCGACTACTGCTGCTACCACTGCCCAGAGTACTACTGCAGGGGACACTCCAGGTTTGGTTGCATGTGGCTGCACCCATCTCGGAGTGCTGACTAACGCCTGGGACCAGGGTGCCAGCAGGTTTACAATATAACAGCATCTGTCTGGGGACTCCAACCATTACCTGTAGGCACAGTTTGGGGGTGCCTGCGGGTTTGGAGGCATCTGGGTCTTCCTGCTAGGAGTGCTCTTGGCCACTGTCTTGCTGCTGCATCTCAGCGTTGTTCCTTTGCATGATTGTATCCATGGTGGTCTCTCTGCAAGTGGAGCAGCATGGAGAACTTGGGACTGCAGCATGGCTGAGCCTTAGGTATCTGAAGCCAAGATTGGTGGGATAGGGCCTGGGTCTGTGAACATAGATCTGGGACTGGTGATTCTATGAGATGTCAGAGACAGGGCTGAGAAAGTTTTGAGCACTGATGGAGACAGTTGACTTTCCATTGATATTTATTTTATTTTATTTTTCTCTTCATCAACATCTCTCTCATATTTGGATCAGGGTGTTTTTTATGCATCAGTGTATGGGGGACAATGATATATGGATGGTGTTTTGCATTTTTGTTTTATTTTTATATCTTTAATTTTTTCTCTTTGTTTGTATTCTTCCTATCACTTGTCTGTTTTCTTAGATTCTTTTTACAGCTTTTCTCCAACCAACCATGAATCTCTGCTGGCTCCTTTTCCACTCTTCTGGTGAATCTTTGTTTCTACCTTCTCTCTTCCTCCCTCGAACATGGCATACTATGCTACTTCTGTTCTCTCATCCACCATTTGAAATTGTAAATTGTTTTAGCAAATTTTCTGTTTATATTACAGATAACTATTGAAATCAACATTTTGGTTTAATGCAAGAAAGCAGTGGACACCTTAGAGGAAGCTGTTAGGTTTAAGGCTATATATTGTTTATACTGTGTGCTGTTGATATTGGTCACAGCATTAAAGGTGAGGTGCTGTAAACCTTCAGGGGCACTAGAAGCCACTGATGGCATGATAAAAGAAATGTCTAAAAAGGAGTTCAGAATGTACATAGCTTAATTGATCTGGGAATAAAAGGATAGTATAAGGAGTGAAATCAAATAAAATTTACAGGAAGTGAAAGATCACTTCAATAAAGAGTTAGAGATTGTGAAAAAATAAAAACAAGCAGAAATCCTCAAAATTAAGAAATCAATAAACAAAGTTATAAATTCAATAGAAATAATCACCAAAAGACTAGACTACTTGGAAGACAGAACCTCAGACAATGAAGACTAAATATATCATCTTGAAGGTAGTATTGACCATGCAGAAAAGATGATAAAAATCCATAAATAGAACATCCAAGAATTGTGGGATAACAGGAAAAGACCAAATTTAAGAGTTATCAGAATAGATGAAGGAGTAGAGATACAAACCAAGTGAATGCACAATCTTTTCAATAATATAATAGTAGAAAATTTTCCAAACCTAAAGAATGGAATGGAAAATCAAATATAAGAGGCTTACAGGATGCTGAATGAACACAATTAGAGAAGACCCAAACCAAGACACATTATAATGAGAATGACTAACATGCAGAATAAAGATAAAATCCTAAATATCATGAGAGAAAAAAATCAAATTATGTATAGAGGGAAACCAATTCAGATCTCAGTGGATTTCTTAACCCAGTCCCTCAAAGCTAGGAGGTCCTAGAATAATATATTTCAACCTCTGCAAGAAAATGAATGTCAACCAAGAATTTTATATCTAGCAAAATTAAGTTTCAGAATTGAAGATGAAATTAAAACCTTCCACGATAAACAAAAATTAAAAGAATTCACAACTAGAAAGCCCACACTACAGAATATTCTCAATAAAATATTCCATGAGGATGAAGTAAAAAAAAAAAGTAAAAATCATCAAAAGGAGGATCTACACTAAAGGAATATTCTATCAAAGGAGAAACTAAGTCAATTAAAAACCACAAATAAGTCAAAATAACAGGCAATATAAATCATATCTCAATAATAACCTTGAATGTTAATGGCCTAAACACTTCAATCAAAGGACATAGAGTGGCATATTGGATTAAAAAGCAAGACCCAGCAATATACTGTCTTCAGCAGACTTACCTCATGGGCAAAGACATACACAGGCTGAAGGTGAAAGGATAAGAATAAAACATATCACTTAGATGGATTGCATAAACAAGCAGGAGTTTCTATCCTTATCTCAGATAAAGTAGACTTCAAGCCAAAGTTAATCAGAAGAGACAAAGAAGGACATTTTATACTTCTTAAGGGAAGTATATATCAACAGGACATAACAAATATAAACATGTATGCCTCAAATAATGGAGCATCTATATACTCACAAACCCTTCTCAATTTCAAGAATGAAATAGACCACAACACAGTAATAAAGGGTGACTTTGACACACCTCACTCACTACTGGACAGATATTTCAAAAAAAAAAACCTAAATAAAGAAACTATAGAACTAAATAATGAAATCAATAATTTAGACTTAACAGAAATATATAGAATATTTTGTCCACCACCAACCAAATATACATTCTCCTCACCAGCACAAGGCTTCTTCTCTAAAATAGATCATATATTATGCCACAAAGCAACTCTTCATAAATACAAATACAAAAACAAAAAATAAAGAAAGAAACCCAAGAGATAAAACCCTTTATTCTAACCGATCACAATGGAAAAAAATTAGAAATCAACAATAAAGTTAAAAAAAGCTACTTTAATGAATGGAGTCTAAATAATACATGCTTGAATAATGAATGGATAGTAGAAAAAATCAAGGATGAAATAAAAAAATTCTTAGAGGTAAGTGAGAACACTGATACAACATATCAAAATCTATGAGACACTATGAAGGCAGTACTAAGAGGAAAATTTATTGCACTGAGCACATTTATTAAAAGAATAAAAGGTCAACAAATAAATGACCTAACATGACATCTCAAAGCCCTAGAAAGAGAAGAACAAGTCAACACCAAAAGCAGTAGAAGAGAGGAAATAATTAATATCAGAGCTGAAATCAATGAAATCGAAACAAAATAAACAATTGAAATAATTGACAAAACAAAAAGTTGGTTCTTTGAAAAAAATAAATAAAATATACAACCCCTAAGCCATGCTAACAAAGAGGAAAAGAGAGAAAACTCAAATTACTAAAACACAACAAGAAGAAGGAAATATCACAATAGATATGTCTAAAATACAGAAGATAATTAGAAACTATTTTGAAAATATATACTCCAATGAATCATAAAACATTGAAGTCATCAATAAATTTCTAGAGACATATGAAATACCCAAACTAAATGAGGAGGTCATACACAATTTAAACAGATCACTTTCAAGAAATGAAATATAACACTCCATAAAAAGCCTACCAATGAAGAAATGACCAGGACCAGACGAATTCTCAGCTGAGTTCTACAACTTTCAAATAAGAATTAACATCAATACTTCTCAAACTATTCCATAAAATAGAAAAGAAGGATACCCTTCCAAACTCATTCTATGAGGCTAATATCACCCTGATACCAAAAGCGGACAAGGACACATCAAGGAAAGAAAACTTCAGACCAATATCCCTAATGAACATACATGCAAAAATTGTTATAAAATTCTGGCAAATTGCATACAAAAATGTATTAAAAAGATAGTGCACTACAATCAAATGAGTTTATCCCAGGTATGCTGTGTTGATTCAACATACGCGAATCAATAAACATAATTCATCATATTAATAGACTTAAAAATAAGAATCATATGATCATCTAAATAGATGTAGAAAAATCATTTGATAAAATACAGCACACCATCATATTCAAATCACTAGACTACCTAGGGATAATAGGACTGCATTTCAACATTGTAAAAGCTATATCTGCTAAATCCAAGGCCAGCATCATTCTAAATGGAGAAAATTGAAAGCATTACCTGTAAAAAGTGTAATAAGGCAAGGATGTCCTTTTCCACCACTTATATTCACCATCACTTTTCAAACTCTGGCCAGAGCAATTAGACAGAAAAAAGAAATTAAATGAATACAAATAAATAAAGAAGATCTCAAACTATCACTATTTGCTTATGACATGATTCTATATCTAGAAGATCCAAAAAATTCCATCAGAAAACTTCTAGAACTAATAAATGAATTTAGCAAAATAGCAGGATATATAATCAACACTCATAAATCAAATGCATTTCTATACATCAGCGATGAATCTACTGAAAGAGAAATTAGAAAAACTATCCCATTCACAATAGCCTAAAATTAAAAAAAAATACCTAGGAATCAATCTCTCAAAAGAGGTGAAAGACCTCTACAATGAAAAATGCAGAACACTAGAGAAAGAAATTGAAAAAAATCTCAGAAGATAGAAAGATCACCCATGCTTCTGTATAGGCCAAATTAATATTGTCTTTTGTATAGGCCAAATTAATATTGTCAAAGTGGCCCTACTACCAAAAGTGTTATAGAGATTTATGCAATTCCTATTAAACCCCAATGACATTCTTAATAGAAATAGAAAAAAGAAATCATGAAATTTATTTGGAAAAATAAGAGACCCAGAATAGGTAAGGTTATCCTTAGCAAGAAAAGTGAATCAGGAGGCATTACAATACCAGATCTTAAACAGACTTATAGTAACAAAAACATCATGGTACTGGCACCAAAATAGACTTTTAGACCTATGGTACAGAATAGAGGACACACAGACAAACCCACATACATACTAGATAAAGATACCAAAAACATTCACTGAAGAAAAGATAGCCTATTCAAGAAATGGTTCTGGCAAAACTGGAAATTCATATTAAACAAAATGAAATTAAACCTCTATCTCTCACCCTTCACAAAAATCAACTCAAAATGGGTCCAAGACTTAGGCCCTAAAACAGAGACTCTGTGCCTAACAGAAGAAAAAGTAGGCCCAAATTTTCCTTATGTCAGCCTAGGATCTGACTTCCTTAACAAGATCTTTAATATGTAGGAAATAAAATCAAGAACCAATAAATGGGTTGGACTCAAATTAAAAAACATATTCTCAGCAAAGTAAATGATCAATAATGTGAGGAGAGAGACTACATATTGGAAAAGATCTTTACCACATGCACCTAAATGAAGCATTAATTTCTAGGCTATAGAACTCAAAGAATTTAACACTGAAAAAACAAATAACCCAATCAATAAATGGGCTAAGGAAATGAACAGACATTTCACAGAAGAAGAAGAAAAGCAATTGATCAACAAATATATGGAAAAATGTTCAACATCTCTGGCAATTAGAGAAATGTAAATCAAAACTGCATT